CCACAAGTCTTAAAGTTGCCAAGGTTGGACACCCCTGTTCTAGAGCATGGGCTCAGGGCCAGATCTGGCCCGCAAGGTGCTTATATCTGGCCCGCAGAGCCGCCTTGGAAACAGCAAAGGATCGGCCTGTAGTGCCTCTGTCAGCAAAAATAGAGCTCGGGGGGGCCACATGCAATCCTCCCGAGCTCTGTTTTCACTGGCAAAGGGTTGCAAGAGGCCGTTCACAGCCGAAAACGAAGCTCGGGAGCCCACTTTTGCTGGCAAAGCACTCAGGCCACCATAGGCGCCCTCGAAACGAGTGATGTTGAGCTGGCCACACATCCCCAGCCACGCCTCCCCGGTCCGAGGTCAAACACAACCCTGATGTGGCCCTCAATGAAATTGAGTTTGGCACCCCTGTTCTAGAGTCTAGACTCTTAGCAGTTTACTAACTTTTATGGGCTTAACTGAAAGGTTATTATAATCAAACCAATTGGCTTATGTCATTTGAATTTCTGCTCATGTACTTCCTGATTCTTATATGAATTTTTCTTCAAGCCTAGATACAGAGCAACACTTAGTTATTACTGAGAGAATCATGCTTTCTGCTATGCTCAGACAGCATATAAACTGCTATCCTAAAAGACCAATCATTCTCCCAACCAGTCCTATCCTTTTTCTAAGCACTGGACACACAGTATCCCACTCAGTGATAGTGACATTCGTATCTGTGATACTCTGCATATAAGATACTGTACTTGCAAAATATTTATTTTCAGTGCAGTTTTGTCTTTATTCTCTGCTTCTGCATTACATGAATATTGCTGGCATCATGTCTCTCACAATTGGCATTGGCAATTTAAAGCATAGCTGTGCAACTAAATGACTCACTCAAACCACTTTAAATTTTTAGTGAGTCAAAGTTACACAAGTACTATGAATGCTAACATTACTTGACATTACTACCAGGATATTTTCTTCAAATCTTAGCTAAAATTTGTTAAACTGCTGCTTGGCACTTTCTCTGGTTTGAGGACACCTACTAATGAAAAGGAATTCCATCGAAACCAAAGTGTAGGAAGAACACAAAAATTAATGAACTGTTCTCTGGCTGCTTAAGTTCTTGATAAATCACTACTTATTAGCACTGTACCTTCTTATCCTGTATAAATCAAAATATTTATTTATTTAGTCAATTTATATAGCTGCACACCTCTCAATAACTAAATGACTTTGGGTAGCTAACAGTCTTAAAAGAAAAACAAATACATCTATAAAAAATATTACACAGTAACCAGCAAAATCATAACTATGAGCATAGCCAGGAAATGGGCTCCTTCACATATGTTGGTCCCAGGCAAACAACCTCAAGGATAGACCCTAGCAGCCACAGGATAGAAAACTTATTTAAAAATACAAGAAACTTCCTCTATGTATTTACGCTATTGGCCTTTATATTGTTTTGCATGGAACTTTCTGGATGGAAGACACACACACACACACACACTATAAATGAGCTACAGTCCCTCATCATGAACTGCACATTACTATACTAACTCTGAAGTAATTAAACCAACACCATCCTATTGACATCCAGAGTAAAATAACCAATGCAGGTGCCAAGTGCCAATTTAAAAATCTGAATTGCACTTTTCAAAGGTGGCAGATGGCAAACAATGCTGTTTGGAATTCGAAAGCAACCCTGGCAATGAATTCTTTACCATCATGGTTAACCAAGCTAACTTTCAAAATACATCTATTAAATAAGCCACTGAAACTTTTTAAAATATATAAACACATTTGTGATTCCTCCAATCACAATTAAGTCAGAACTAACAGTAATCTCAGATATGTATAAACCCTTTTTCATTTAGGGAAGCGTCCTAAAGCAGAAATATTATGGAATTTAAAAAAAAACCATGAAGCAGCAAAATCTCAACAGGCACATGAAATCTACCTTCAGGTGAGCCACTATACCTGACACTCTGTAGATGCCTTCGCATTTCATGCCGTATTTTTCTACATAATCTATACATTCCCGGAACACTGCTGGTAGACGGATGCCATCATACAACATGGTCCTTTCTGCTGCATCATTCAAAGGGACTCCAAACACAGGCCGGTACCTGGGAATATCCACTGGTGGCATTTCTACCTCCTGAACTGTTTTTTTCTTTTTCTTCTTCTCTTTCCATTGTTTAACAACATCTGCTGCTGTCAAGTCTTTTGATTTCTTCTCTTTATGCTTCTCTTCCTTGTGCTTGTCATCTTTATGCTTTTCATCTTTGGGTTTTTCTTTTATCTTAAAGTCTTTTTCCTTCTTTTTGGAGAAACTTGGCTTCTTAAAAACATGAATCCCTTTAGAGCGTTTTAGCTTAGAAGGACTTTCAGCTTCATCCCCTGAGCTATCTTCCTGAAAAGCTGCATAACCTTCCGCTGTTGGGAGAGGAAGAACAGAAATAAAACTAGGTGTTTAAGCTTTGTGTTAGAAAAAAAAGCTAGTGATGAACTCTAATGTGCTATTATTTAAAACATACACTTTGTTCTGCAGAACTAAACAAGTCAAATAATTAGGAGTTTTGCACATTTTCCTTTCTGAGAAAAATCAGATCAGTTCATCTCTTGATTATTTACTGACTAGTACACGTGGAGTTTTGTTGCTATGTGCAATCTGAATTTATAATTAATAGCAATGCAATTGTTTGATAATTCTAAAAACATCCCACTTGAGTCTAATGGCATCAGGCTAAGAACTTCATCAAAGAATAAAATCTTGTATCAAAGTGAATCCAAAACTGATGTATCGAGTAATGGCCAGTATAAATCACACATGATCTCCTCAGTTTAAAATCTTAAAAAGATAATGCCAATGTTATTTTCAGCTCTTAATTGATTTTTAAAAAAATTAAGGAATGGGGGAAACAGTTTTTTTTTAAATCTCTGTATCCCTGCACTACTAGAATTGTCATGATCCTAAATCAGTACTTTACAAGCACATTTAAAAACAGTTGTTGAAAATTGCAAAGAATATAATTCCAACTTAACTCTTTCAATCACTTATTTTTTCTTTCTTTTTCAAATATTAAACCAGGTGTTCTAGAATATATATCAATATGCTTGGGCCCATTCTCCAAAAAGAAAGTTTACTTTTCAATTCAGTTGGCAAAGCCATCTCAACCATCCTGTCTCTTTAAAAACTATTCTTGCTCAAATAGGTTATACAAACTGCACATGTGATTCTAATTCCACAGCCGTAAAACAAACGTAGCTCTTACCAAACTGAATTACCAAATTCTTTACGGTCTGTGAAATACATGCATAGGCGTCTAATAACTGATACCTCCTCTATAACTAACCCTACTCTAGGTAGGAATAGAAAAATCAGTTTTAAACAAACACATACGCCTACAATTAATTGCGACACAAATGCTACAATATAAAGGCAATGCTTCTCAAACTACTTATCAGGAAGTCCTTTTTTACTCAATGTAGGAAAAACATTTTAAATTAATTTAAATGTCCCTGTTATGATTGGGTAATAGGCCTCTGTGGTTACCTAAAAAAACACCACTTTTACCCAATTTTCAGTAATTTACACAGGTTTGAGAAACACCGATATAAGGAAAAAACAAGGAAAAGGCTGAACGCAATTAAATATTTCAGGCTGCAAAATTTGATACGAATAATTAGTGTACCAGTGGAATTTACAATACAATTGATGTGCAGTGAAACCTCAATTTAATGTACTAACCATGGAGAGTGAGATCCATTATTCCTGACTGACATTAAATCAGACAGCAATGTCAATGTAGTGATTTATGTTATCTGAATGATTATATCATTGCACAAATGACTTAGATCATCAGGATAAGCTGGTCTCTTGTACGTGAAATATGTTGTACCGAAGTCTACTATACTATGGTTTTTCTATATTCCTAAACCTTGAATAAAAACTCTTTTTAGAGAACTGGGATGCATGATGCAACTAGATGAAAATAAAAATTATAACTTTTAAACACATACAGTACATATTTTCAAACTGTTGTGCCAGAATCCTATCAAATGTTCTACAATATACTAGTAACTACAATAGATTCTAGTTACAAAGTATGAGCCCCAAAGTGGCAATATCAACAACAAAGAAGTACAATCTTAGGATGCAATACTAATTAAATTTCCGTAGAAGTAAGCTTTGATTATTCGTTAAAAAAAAAAGATATACACAATTGTTCTCTACAATCTCAAATTCTATATATTTCTTAAATGACATAATCAGAAAACAGATTAAAAAATCTTTTTCAATGTTTCAATATTCAAAGTTGTTTTCGTACTTCAGAAAATGCTAATAATGGACTGCTAATTAATAAAAATGATATTATTGCCATTTAAAATTAACAAAATTAAAACCACTATAGCCATTTAAAATTAACAGAACATCTGGTTCTTTGATATATATATAAAACTAGCCATTAGCATACAAAGGGATGAAAGGTATTATTTTGAGAGGACATCGTATTACGTATTCCCACATGGAAATACTTTTCACTTAAAAGCTATGAAAGTTTTTCCATTTTACAGACGTTTATAGAGACTGACAACTGAAAAGAAGCCAGGGCTTGTCCTGGTTAAAGTTCCACAAAATATATGTTATGAATTTCTTCATGCTTAAAGAACAGCTGGTTATTTTAAAACATGGATATCATTAACACTCAAAGTGAAGTAATAAATAAAGGACAAAGAACATTTGACAAAGAAAACTGTTCATAAAAAAAAAAAGACAACGCACACTGATAGCATACGGTTTTTCTTAAAGTGACCTACTTCTCTTCTCCTTTTTCTTAAATTTCCCTTTCTTCTTCCCATGTTCTTTCTCATCATCAGACACAATATCAGGAGGCTCGTGGAGGCTGTCATGGGGGGGCGAAGGCTCACTCGTGCGATATAAGCCAGGGAATTTGGTTGGGCTGATTTCTTCAGAGCTTGGGGTCCTGGCCAGGCTTCCACCATGCTCTACCCTGCGGTGTTCGCTGGGGCTGCTTGTGGGGGGCAGGAAGCACTCTGTCATTCTTACTCTCTGGCACCACAGCAGAATAGTATCCTGTTACCTGTCCATTACTCCTGCAACAAAAACACAAGTTGAAACCCTCCAAAGATTCTCAGGGACAAAAATGTTTGCAGGGCTACATGGGCCAAAGGACTCATGGTAGTACTTGCATCAAGCTGCAAATATAGACAATTGCAATTTAATTATCACTCTAAGCACCAGAAATTCAGTTTGTAGACAGCATATTCATATAATATCCTGATTGGTATAAGGCTGTGATATTTTCTTTCCATATTTTGGAATTTCACATAGATTTGTTCTTTGAACCACAACGGCAGCCTGCACATGATAATGATGGAAAGCCATGAAATGACCTTGCTTTGCTATGGGATGACCCTAATCAGAAAGATTTCCTGCTGGGAACAGAACCAGTTGGGGATTTGTTGGCAGGCTGCAAAATTGGACTTCACAAGACACATTTATAGTGTGGGCTATAAGGGGCGTTGGTCCTACCTGAACACTTCTTCTCGGGGAGCCAAAGGGAGAATCCAAGATGGGTAGTCTCTAGTCTCAAAGCTCTGCAGACTGAGTTGAAAAACTGAGGACAGACCCCCTAGTAACAGTTCCCAGTTCTGAACGACATCGAAGCGAATCCAGCTCCTCCTCATCCTCTAACAAATAGCCTATTTGATACTGAGAGGAAAAAACATTTCCTCCCTACTCCGACCAGACAGAATATAGGGTGGGACTGGATTCTTCTCACTTCGGCTCCCCAAGAAGAAGCGTACAGGTAGGACCAACGCCCCTTCTCCATTGAGCCAAAGGGAGAATCCAGGATGGGACATACCAAAGCTGGCTGATGGCTGTGCTATGGGAGAGAATTGGATTGGTCGGAGGTCCCCACTTCTACATGAACGTCCTGCAGGACTCGTCTTCCAAAGGACACCTCTGCTGAGGCAAAGGAGTCAATTTTATATTGTCTTATGAATGGGGTCACAGATGACCAAGTCGCAGCTCTACAAAAGTCCAGAACTGAAGCCTGCATTGCCCAGGCTGCAGTGGTCGCCGCATTCCTGGTTGAGTGTGCAGTGATTCTCCTGGGCAGAGGAAGAGCCAGTAACTCATAGGCCTTCGCAATACAGGCTCTAAGCCAGCGACCCATGCGACCCAAAGTTGACGACTGAAACGAAACGAACAGGGCTTCAGTCCTCCTAAAAGAGGAGGTCCTTTTGATGTATATACGGAGGGCCCTACTAACGTCCAACGTGTCCCATTTTCTCTCCAGTGCAAGGGTAGGCCCTGGATAGAAGTCAGACAAAATCAACTCCTGTGAGCGATGGAATAAGGAGTTCACCCTGGGCAGAAAGGTAGGGTCCAACCGCAGAACCACCCTGTCTGCATGGAAAATGCACAGGCCCTTTCTGATGGATAAGGCCACCAACTCCGAGATACGCCTGGCTGAAATAATGGTCACTAAGAATGACACCTTGCACATGAGTAGGCGAAGACGGACTTCACGCAAGGATTCAAATGGGGGAGAAGTCAGTGCCTGCAGGACCCTAGGCTAATCCAAGGTGGGGAAACAGTGGACCACCGGTGGCTTCAAATTAGTGGCTCCCCTAAGGAAGGTTTTCACCCAGGGGTGTTGGACCAGAGTGGTTGAGTCCTTGACCGAAAAAACCGAGGCCAAGGCAACCACCTGTCTCTTCAAGGTACTGGGGGGGAGACTTCTGTCCAACCCATCCTGCAGGTACTCTAACACATTTGCCACAGACACAGCAGTAGGTTCCAATAGGTGACTGGCACACCAGCCGCAGAAAATCCTCCATGATGCGTCGTATATCCTGGTTGTGGAAGGACTTCTGGCCTCCTGGATGGTCTGAAGGACCCTTCTGGAAAACTTCTCCTGTTTCAGGAACACCTGCTCAAGCGCTAGACAGTCAACCAAAACCAGGCTGGATCTGGGTGCTCAATCGGGCCCTGGCTGAGGGAGGTCCTATGCAGGGGAATTCTCCAGTGTCTGGTGACTGACTGGCCCACCAGGTAGGCGAACCATGGGTGCCTGGGCCAGTAAGGGGCTACCAACAGAAAACTCCACCCTTTCTGTCAGTACGTTTCTGATTGTTCCCAGAATCAGGGGAAGGGGGGAAGGCACAGAATAGCCCTTGGGGCCACCTGCACCGGACAGCATTGACCTCTTCTGCTCCCGGTGCTGGGAACCGTGCAAAGAACCTCGGGAGCTGTGAGTTCTCTGGAGATGCAAAATCGGATGGCTGAACTGTTCCGTCATCTCCTGGAACAGACTGGGATGTAGTCGCCATTCCGACTGGTCGACTGTGGGCCTGCTCAACCAGTCTGCTTGCACATTGGAAACTCCCGAGATGTTTTCTGCTCACAGGGACAACAGGTGTCTCTCCGCCCACCTGCACAACCAAGTTGCGTCCTGCATTAGAGATCTGGAGTGAGTGCCCCCTTGCTGGTTTATGTGGGCTTTGGTGGCCACATTGTCTGCGAGGAGAAAAACCTGTCTCCCCATCACCTCCTGCCTTAGATCCTTGAGAGTTAAGCGGGCAGCCCGGAGCTCTAGCCAATTTATGTTGTGGGCAAGCTCCTCCTGTGACCACCTAACCTGGAGTCCCAGGTGGGCTCCCCCCAACCATACAGACTGGTGTCGGTGGTGATGGTAATCCTCTGGGGCTCCCTGTACAAGCAACCCTGATCCATGGCTCGGGAATGCCACCAATGGAGAGAATGAAGAACCAGCAAGGGGACATGAACCCTCCTTAGTAAGTCGCCCCTGCCCGCCTTCTGGTAGGGGAGCAGGACCCACTACAGGGTTCGGGCAGGAAGTGGGCCCTGGGACGATCCTGATGCACAATATCATCTTGCCGAAAAGTTGAGACAGCAAGATGATAGGTGCCTCTCTGTCAGACAGGATCTGTGATGTGACGTCCCTTATACTGTCTCAACGCTCCTGTGAGAGAAAGACCTGGCCAGTTAAGGTGTCTATGATAGTCCCCAAATGCAAGAGAAGGTTTGATGGTACTAGGCGGCATTTGTCCAGGTTTATTGAGAACCCATACTCTCGAAGGATCCTGATTGCCGAGATCATATCCTCCTCTGCCTGGGGTCTGGAAGAGGATGCTATCAGGATGTCGTCCAAATAACATAGGATCCTTATGGGTAAGGATCTGAGGTATGCCGCTCCGGCCGCCAGGAGCTTGGCAAAAGTCCATGGGGCTGATGACAGGCTGAACGGGAGAGCCCTGTATTGAAAATGGTGGCCGCCATAGCAAAACCTCAGGAACTGATGGTGTTGGGGTCTATGGGCACATGGGAGGTAGGCCTCTGTCAGGTCTACCAAAGCCAAAAAAATCTCCCTCCCGCAGGCCCTGTAGGATAGAGTGGAGGGAGTGCAACTTGAATCTTCAGTAGATTAGATGGCTGTTGAGCCCTTTCAAGTTGAGGATTGCTTGCCACCACCACCCCAGCCTTTAGAATCACAAACCAAATTGAATAGAACCTCTGTCTCTCTTGGTCTCCAGGAACCGGCTGGATGGCCTGAACATCCAGAAGATGGTGGACTGCCGATTCCATGAGATCCCTCTTTTGAGGGATCTCTTGAGACGGGGCAGCACACAAAGGCACTGGGGGGGGAGGAAATAAACTCCCGAGAGAGACCTGACCATAAAGTTGTCAGGATCCAAGCATCTGTTGTGATCTGTTCGCACCTCGGCCAGAACAGTCCCAGACGGCCCCCTATGGGAGAGGAGGCTTGGGTGTCACTTGTTGCATCTAAAAGGTCTGTTGGAACCCCGAAAGGACCTCCAGTCATCTTACCTCTGATGCCCTCTGGTGGCAAAGGCCGGTCTATCAAATGAGGATCTTTGAAAGAAGGGCCTACTTTGATGGGGAAAGCTTGCCCCAGCTTCCCCGTTTAAAGGAGGGCTTTCTGTAGTAGGGTGGAGAACTGTAATCAAAACGCCTCCCCTGGGAGGGCAGGATTTTCACTTGTCCCTAATTTCCATTAAAAAAAAAAAAAGGGATCCAGGGCCTTTCCAAAAAGCCACTCTCCCTTGAAGGGAGCAAACGTCAGCTTCCATTTGTTTCTGGCATCCATCTGCCAATTTCTTAGCCAGATGAGCCTACATGCTGTTACAGATGAGGCCATGGCTCTGGAAGAAGTTTTGGCTGATGTGAGGGTGGCATTAGCTGTCAATTGAGCTGCGACTATTATCTTATTTAAGTCCTGATGCACCCTGAGGTCCTCAGGTGGGATTCTACCCTGCAGCTGCCGCAGCCACCCATTAAATATGTTAGACTCAGACCCACTGGGGCGAGTGTACCCCCAGGGGACACCCACTGCTTTTTAATCACATTCATAAACATCTGGGGCACAGGTACAGCATCCACCACAGATGCTTTCTCAGTGAATAGGTAATCTTCCTGATCCTCCCCCTCTGAGGGAAGATCCCGGGTGACCTTGTCCCTTTTTTTAAGATGAGCCATGCTCTTAGCCTTAACCAGCAGAGTCTTGGAGAGAGCCAGCTGGAAAAGGTCCTTAAAGGAGGGGGGACCTGCTACCTCCGACTGCCTGTCCAAAAAGCCCTCTCTGGAAGGAGGTCCCTCTCGGAAACATAAGACTGGCTTCTTTCCGAAGGGGATGCAGAACGATTTCTGAAGTAGATTGGCTGTTCTGCAGAAGCCTGCTCCTGCCCCTGAGGAACGCCTCTGTTGGTGTCCAAACCAGGCAGCTGGCGCAGCTGGTTGACTTCAGCCTGAAATTCTTGTCTAATTGTTTGGGAGATCCAGGCTCTCATGAAAGATGGCATCTCTTGCCTGTGGGTCTCCTCACGCCGCAACCCAGCCACTGTAGGGGTAAAGGTGGCTTTTTTTTTTTTAAATTTTCAGGCACAGGTGTGGTTCTGCTGGAGGCTTGGCTTCCAGGTGCAGCAATCAAAAATCCTTGTGGTGGGTCAGAATTATTATGAATGGCTTTTGCCTTGATTTGGAGGTTTCCCTGCAAATCCTGAGTACTTGAGCCACCAGGAGATCAGGCAGTCAAATATTGTCTATCTGCCAATTGGTCTTGCTGCCTGCCATCTTGTGGGAGCAGAGGAGAGATGGCTCTGTTTCTCACTACCTTATCAAACTCCTTACCTAGGGCTTTTTGTCTATCCTCTGCCCCAGAGGACCCTAGGGGTCCTAGCTCTGATCCTAACTGCTGCCTCCAGCCCAGTAATCCTGGATTTAGTTGATCCCCTTGCAGCTCTCTCCCTACTCTGCTGAGGAGCTGATAATTCTTGGCCAGCTCCCCTGGTGGCCATTTTGAGCCCACCAAAAATAATTGTCACTGACAGGGAGAGAGAAAAGGAAAAAAGGAGCAAAAGAAAAATAAAAACAAAATTTATTTGATCTAAAGCTGTCTGCTTTGGTCACAGCAGCTGTCCACCACTTCAGGAGGCTAGTGCGACCCAGAAGTGGTGAGCTCAGCACAGCTCTGCAATTTAAGGCAAGAGTCAAAGCAAAAAGGGAAAAAAAGGCTGACTCTTTAAAATTGCTACAAGCCCTGACAGATCAGAGGCTTGCAAGCCAGTGCTGGCTGCACCGAAATCAATTTGGCAGTCTCAAGCGTCTCACAGCTGCCATGGTGCTCTGGTGATTGGACAGGGGGTTCAATCCAGATGGCCAGTACCCCCCCAAGGGACAATCCTGGAGACAAACTGCAGAATTGTCCCAAAACGTCTGAAATGGCTGCCGACGCCGAAAAGGGGCAGAAGCGCCTCACGGTTTTCGCAGTTAGCACAGATCAATAAGAACGGATTGGGAGAAAGTGAGTTGAGTAAGACACTGACTCCCGCCCCCCCCCAGCCCGGGCCACATGGGCTCTCAGGGGCACCTCCAAACAAATTTACAATCACCATTCCAAAAACCAGTCTACCAGCAAAGAATTTTTTAAAAAGGCAGTCAAAAAAAAAACACGCAAAAAACAAAAGTGCTAACCAGCAAGCCGGTTACTTGTCAAACCTGCTCTAAGCCTCTGGAAGAAAAAAAAAAAACTCAATCCAGGGGGTGAAGATTCTTCTACAATCTGAACTATTCAGAGCCCTTAAAGGGTGGTCTGAACACGCTGAGACCGAGTGAAGAACTGGGGACCGTTACCAGGGGGTCTGTCCTCAGTTTTTCAATTCGGTCTGCAGAGCTATGAGACTAGAGACTACCCATCCTGGATTCTCCCTTCGGCTCAATGGAGAAGATGCCCATCCCTTTGTCCAAAATGAGCAGGAATTCCACTACTTTTTTCCCCTATTATTTTTCATTAAATATACCAGGAAGACTTATCCAGGAAAATTTACAGCCATCACCTCATAACTTTAATTGCCTCCTGGCAAATTCTTAGGATTAATTAATCCCATGGAAATTATCAGTTTACGTAATACACTAAACCTAATCAACAGCTTTAATCAAAAGAAAAGTATAATGGCATTCCTGATGAAATTGGCAGGATAAATATGTTAAGCTTGATTGTACTGTACTTACCATTGTCTAAATGTACCTTTCCACCACTTCCCAAGCATTTTATTCCTTTCCAGGCAATCCCCTTGTATTAATTTTGAAATTAAAGACTTCTTAGCACAGAGCTATTCTTTAGGCTAATAACAAGATATATTATTAGGGATGGAGTAATTCTACAATTCCTCTGTACTATACAGGCAATTAATAGGCACAAGTTCCCAAATATAACCATTCTTCCCTCAGCCCTTCAAACCACCATCATCTAGTGCAGTGGCCCCCAACCTTTTTTGTGCTGCGGCCCGGTACCGGCATCACAAAATGATCCGCGGCCCGGTACCGGCATCAGCACGCATGACAAGACAAGGCGAGCCGAGCGACCGGCCAGCCAGCCGTCCCCCGCTTCTCCCCACCACCTTCAACTCCTCCTTTGTACCTTTGTCAATGGGCTTTGATTCGGGATGGCTTCGGGACGGTCGCTTGGCTCGCCTTGCCTTGGGTGCTGAAAGAATCCTCGCGCCTTAGTTTCGTTCGAAGCCCCCCCCCTTCGATGAAACTAAGGCGCAAGGATTCCTTCAGGACCCAAATGCCGCTTTCCAACCGGAAAAGCTCACCCGGAAGCACTTTCTCATCAAACAAGATGGAGGCGCCCAGCAAACCGGCGGCCCGGTAGGAAATGTTCCACGGACCGGGACCGGTCCGCGGCCCGGTGGTTGGGGACCCCTGATCTAGTGCTACAAATTGTCAAAACAATGTCAGATCCATGTTGGGTCTCCCTGAATGCCAGAACTGAGATCCAGCAAATGAAGGAAAAAGCAAGCAAGGAGATTTTCTTGGCAGTACTTCATTCCTTAAACTGCCTCAAGGCACTAGAAATGTTTCCCAATTGTCTGTAAGAGTTTGTCAGAAGAAATGGGCAAATGCAAGAGAAAACATGAAGACCTACCTATCATATAACTACTCTGATTCAAGCTACATTTCAACACCATGTCTCTCCTTTCTCTTCTAAGATTTTTTGGAAAGATAAGGAGCAGAGGTGCCTCCAAAGTATTTTTTCATTCCTTAGCTGGAATCTGAATTGGATGAATATTTGTGTACAGAAATTTAAATAAATGCAATAAATAAATGAAATTCAACATTCTCAAACAGAACTGATGCCAGATATTTAAAAACATCACAAATACATTGCAGTATTCACCAAATATATTAGGCAGCAACAGCTTCTAAAAGCAGACCCATAACATCTACCTGAGAAAACATTCTCAATGTACATGTCATTTATTTTTATCCTTCCTTTATTATTTTTATGAATAAGTCAGGGTGGCAAACATACCTAATGTTCCTTCTTCGTATTTTCCTCATAACAAACTTGTGAGGTAGGTTGGGCTAAGTGTGTGTGACTGACCAAAGATCACCCTGCTGGTTTTCATTCATAAGGTGGGACTAGTACTTACAGTTTCCTGGTTTCTACCTGATGGATGCCTCAGCCAGTTGACCAAACTGGTTCAACTATATGTGTCAATGCTCCACTGGTACTTTATATATTTTGAACATAAATTATTGGGGGCTGCGTCTTTAGCAAAGCAGAGTACAAATGCTTGTATCAGATGAATGACTCCCACACACTGGCATGACAGCATATTAGCAGTGGTGCACAACAGGCTGCCAAAATCTTCACCACTTTATCTTCCTGGTTTCCCCATTTTGAAGGTGGGATTTATACATATGAAATAAAAATTGAAAATTCAGAATAACTACTGCAACTGGCAGAAGACACAACATCTGTCTATTTAGAAACATCTTTCAAAATGTCTGCTAAAGTTTTAAAGCCAAAAATAACCTCAGTAGATATTCAAGTTTTTCCCCCAACATCTTTTCCAAGGGAGTTCCAAGACTGTCCTAGGGTCCAATGCATCCTTTCCCTTCATGTTAATTTTAAGGTGGGATGGAGATTCACGAAGCAATACTGTATACTACATAATTATAATGTAGACCTTTAATTTTCCATTCATTTACTTCAATTGCAGAATATAGGTTTTATTTTAAGGCAAATCATGACTTAGCTGATGGGAAACTTTTGTTTTGATTACAATTAATTTACATCCATACAAGCCAGTCTGAAATATAATACATTTTTCAACTGAAAGAATAAAACGTCTCTAGTGTACACTATGTGCTGGTAAAACAAGTTTTCATTTCAAAAAACAATATCATGGGATAAAGATGATCAGGCAATTCATTGTTCCCACATGAATCACAATCACACTGCAATTACTATTAGTGAAAGGATTTATAATGATGCAAGTTTCACAGGCAAATACTAAGCCGTACATGATGCAAGAGGTTTCTCCTCTTACTGTCAGGGCTAGTGATAGCTTGTTAGAGAAATTCTACCAAGTGTGTATTAATCTTTCTCTCCAAGGGCAATACTATTCTAAAGATCCATATGGCTATTTTAAAATGAAATTTTAAAAAAATGAAGTGCAAATCAAAATTTTCCTATATTTTATGCAGTCTGAAAGTTGTCTGCATTTCCAACCTGGTCAGGCTGAACAGGGACAGACATACTGCCACTATGTCTTTATCCTTAGTAAACCACAGCTGGACAACCCAAGAATCTAAGTCAAAGGCCTCCAAACGTGGAGAATTGGTTGGAGAATTCTGGGAGTTGAAGTCCACAAGTCTTAAAGTTGCCAAGTTAGGGGATCCCTGATCTAAGACTAAAGCAGAGATTTTCCACACCTTTCCTATTTTCTCTTTAAGATCTGGATAATAATATGTTCCCCCAGTATTGTAACATACGAGGAAGATTCTCAGGCTGGGGTGAAAAATACTAAGATCAACTCCATCTGAATAAAAGTCAGAGGTCAATGAAGATCACATGCAGGAATCACTTTCAATTTCATGAGCCAAATGTCACCAGCACATAGTCTGCTTTTGCAGTATTGCTTTTTGTGGGGCTTTTTCTCTTATAAAACACTCAAAACTTACTATGGTGTATTTATTTAAAAGACTTATATCATTGCCCATCTTATGAAGTAACTGTAAATGGTTCATAACAATAATAATAAACAAAAGGGAAAACAAAGATTTGGAATCTAAAACAACATTTTTGGATCCATCTAACAATATAAACCCTAGAGTCCAACCTTATCTTGTTCCAAAACTTGGAAGGAAAGCCAGCTCTTAGGGCTTTCCAGAAAGCTAAACCAGTGGGGTCCTACCAGATTCCTGCTGCTCAGGAGAGGGGCTGTTATAGAAATGGCACATTTCCTAGGTGGATGGTAACACAAGACATCCCAGACACAAAAGCCTAGGGGCCTTCTTCCCTCCATACCAGGGGTCTGCAACCTTAAACACTCAAAGAGCCATTTGGACCTGTTTCCCACAGAAAATAAAATACCGGGGGCCAATAATTTAACAACCAGTGTGACTGGGTAGGTGTGGCCAACTTGACATCATTCACTCCCACCCAGTCATCTCCTGCTCTGGAATATGGAGCGAGTCTCCATCCCCCACCATCACCCTTACCTCAGGCCAAGCGAGGAGTGACGGGGAGGGGTGGGGTGGGGCCAGCCAGTGGTGGGATCAGCCAACAGGGAGTCGCAGCAGAGGGCCGAAAGAACCACATAATGGCTCCAGAGCCACAGAGTGCAGACCCCTGCCCCACACCAAATGGAACTGGCCACAAAGGAAGGAGCCAAACCATTGCAAAGCTTCTAATTCCTGAAGCTGTTCTAGAAGGACACCACTGTTACTGGTATCAACAGGCCCCAGGAAAGCAAGAATCAGGACAGTAGCACCACCTGTCTCAAGACCTCCAGAGCAGAGGTCTCCAACTTTAGCAACTTTAAGACTTGTGGAGTTCAACTCCCAGAATTCTTCAGCCAGCAAAGCTGGTTGAGGAATTCTTGGAGTTGAAGTCCACTTAGTCTTAAAGTTGCCAAGGTTGGAGACCTCTGCTCCAGAGAACATCCACAAGTGTGACCAACACTGTCTGCATACTGTAACCCAGCCTAAACCCACAGTGGAAAGGATTCAGATAATCTGCTTCATATTAAGGCAGCTGCTCTTTCAACAACCTTCCCTAAGGAAGGAAGGCTAGAATTGATAAAAATCTGTTGAATCCAAGTATGGTCTCTGGAAAAGGGGACATATTACTGCCCACTGCAAGATGGCTACTAATTTAGATAGGTTTAAAAGAGTAATAAATAAACCTATAGGATAAAGGTCTATGAAGTGCTATTCTTAAGACATCTAGGTAGATGAACAACTAAATACAACGCATCTATCTGTGACGCAGGATACCAAAGGACCCATCCAGCCACAGTTCAATATTTCTAAGGCCTCAATCCTATATAAAGGGTAGCACATAGATATTGACCACAATAAAATCTAAAAGTGGACTGTGCAAATATCTGGAGAGGGAAGTATGTATTGTTTTATTTAGTAGACAAGACGTATGACTGCCAAGTTCCTGTTCCTGCCCCTTTTCCTGTCCAATTGGCTAAAGTGAAGTTCCATGTAGTAGTTTCAAGAAGAAAGGAAATAATCAGGCTAATTTTGGCCAATACTTAGCAAATGCATTTTTAAAAAAATGTTTGAAATTTTTCTTTCAATTTATTTTAAAAATCATGCTCCAATATCTCTCTTCCAACAGCAGCTATTGCTTCAACCACAACATGCAACACAAAAGTAGGATGAGAATTTAAACACATGACTTTCACATCTGCTTTAGCTTCAAAATAGTTTTAATGATAACCAAAAATACATGTAAAACTGAACATGAATTTCTCCTCAAAAGGGTGTGATGTTAAAATGTTTGCACAATGCATATTGTTATGCAATGAAGAAATAGTATTTGTATAGGAATGTTCTTTCTTCACTGAAATTCAGATATCATTAGAGGTTTAAGAAAGAAATCCAACTATAGCAAGGTGGGAAACCTTGATAATGTATTAACCAGGTTAAACTTTAAAAAACTGCTGTTACTAATAATATGCTCACTCACTCGGTGCTACCAGAGCAATTATGATTTGCCAGGGAAGGGGGGATCTCATAACAGAATCAAGCATAAAATTCTTCATGATATTAACTCCTATAAGGAACAATCTAATTCTAAGTTAAAATAGCTAAAGTAGTAGCAATAGTGGTATGAGCTCCAGTGTTACGGAATTCTAGTACTGTGGAGTTTTGTATTATGCTGCTAATAATTAGCATATGCAATCTATAAAAACATCACCAGATTACACAATTTCATGAAAATCCAAACTATAACATAATTGTTAGATTAAAAACTATAAACATTATGGCTACAGCAGGGCACTTCCCAACTATATTAATTTAATTTGTACCTTACTATTCTAAATGGATTTAAACTTAACAGATTATGAAATCTAAAGAACACAATCAAAATACTAAACATAAAATGGTAATATTTACACAATTACAGCACCAAATGAAGATTTTTTTAAAAAAATGAATTATTTATCTATCAAAAAACTGTGGACCAGATAAGCTTTTTTAGCCTTCCTGGGAGGGAGAGGGCAGTCCAGTGTCTTTAGTAATCATTGGAAAGTTTCTAGTTACATCAGAACAGCAAGAGACAAATAACAAGCTTCAGATAGGATTATGGAAGAGATTACCATTATTAAATACCCTTGTCCTGGACTAGTTTCAAACTAAGCTGACAATATGGTCAACTGAACATATGGCAAGCTACTTCCCCCCTAATTTATGTTGTTGACTATTTTCAAGAGTTTTGCAGGAATCTAACCTAAATATAGTTAGAAAGCAAATAATTGAAAGCAAGTTCATCCTCTTTACAAGACAGCACTTGATGAATCAGCCTAAATTATTAGAAACAAACAACAATTTCCAGGCCACAGCTGCCCATCTATCTAGGGAAAGCACAAGATATATCAGTTGATTATTAGCAATTGATCATAATAAAGGACACAGAATAGTAAAGGTATTTTGTATAATAAAATAAATAGTATATGAGACAAGACAGATACTCTATTATTTAGTCACACCTATTCTGTGCTACTAGTTATACAATATATCAGAATATATCAAAGAAACCAAAGGTAACAGATATGAATACTTATATCCAATTAATGAGGGAAAGGCTGAGAAGTATTTAAGCAAAATATAGGTAGGATAGAGAAAGGAATAAAAAGGAATAGAGAACAAAGTACTTCCCATCATAACATCATGAAATTTCAGTCTAAGTAGCACACATTACCAGATTGCTTTACCTGTTAATTTCTTCCCTATTAATTTATCTCACATTAGCCAGAGGATCTCTTTCACATAACAAGCACAAACAATAGCTTTGGCAGAATCAGTTACATTATTTCAATATCATACTCCACAACAGATTAAAAAAAAAGAGGACAAATTGCATTGTGGGGGGATACATTTTGGAACTAGTGATTGTAGGCCACAAATATACACATGTGTGAACCTTGATATTCACACATACTAATACAGCTTGCATTGCACATTTCCACCAATTCTTTATAACAGCAGCTGCTGTCACAGTGAGTGCAAATGCATACTCATCAGTTTAAGAATATCCCTTTTGTTCAGAACACATAATTATCTTAAATGTGGCATATGGAAGATCTTAACAGTGGCATGTATAATTACAAAACATGTACTTTTAAAAATATCTAATAAATGAAGTTGCTACTGAAATTCTCCCAACAATCCCTCTTCATACATACTCTGCTTGCATCCCTCTTTTTTTTTCTTCACAGAAATTAACCAGAAGTAGTAAACAGACTAAGCAACCAGTTTTAGATTACACTCCAACAAGCCTTCCTGTTGCTCAGGGCTATGGAGTACATGTCAACCACCTGATGACCATGAATTAATTACCATCCACCAGACTTTCCTTGCCTACTATTTTTCACTTTAATTAGGATGGCAATTCTCAAAATGTACATCTAGCAAAGGATTCTGGAAGTTAGTCCCCAGGTTTGTGGAGGCAACCTAGCCCTTCTAACCAGAGCCACAAAAAGTCTCGTCCACACATTCATCGTCAAAATCCGAGGGAGCAATGATAAATGGCAGGCAGACTGCAGAGCATACATTCCAAGTTTGATTTCCAAGTAGAAATGCAACCTGAAAGCATTGAATGTGGCACATAAAAAGTCCAGGGCAGTTGCGTTGCATCTCTGGAGGCACCCCCACCAAACATCTGAGCAAGCGGGGTGCGCGGGAAATGACAGCGCAAGTTCCAGCCAGAACTCAGGGCGCTGTACAGAGTTGAGTACGCATGCGCATTTCAGAGCACGCGTCAGCCACTGCCCATCCCCATCGTGGTCACCGAGGGGCGGCCTCCCTAGTCGGGAATGGAACTTCGGTGGAAGAGAACCCGTAATATGGGAAGGCCATGCATCCTTTTCACACTGACCTGAGGAATGGGGAGAGGTATCCTGCCGCTCGCACGACGGCTGTGCTAACTTCACCTCGCTCCCGGCATCATTCAGACCCCGCTCTGCACTCCAACCCGCCGTCGTCTTACTTGCAAGGTCGGGAAAATAGGAAACAGAAAGAGGCGCATGCGCGGTCACCCTTTTCTCCGTCTTTCTCGTTCTGTTTCTTCCAGCCTTTCGGCAACCTAGGTTAGAGGCCGGAATAAGCGCGCAAGCGCATGACGTACCAGGGAGGAGCCATCATAGCGACCGAGCGACCGATCTTCTCTGGAGGATCAAAGAAGGCAGGCGAAAGGGTTGCGCCTGCGCGCTCACTCCCTGCTATGGTTTATGGAATAGGCCCGATCCTGATTCCTGCCCTCCTCCCTATGGTGCATTTCGGGAAATGTAGTCTTCTAAGTGCAAGCAAGAGGGACGAGGGAATTTTGAATTGCGTTTACTTGTGTGCTTGAACTACATTTGGGAATTGAGGATGGCAAGAATGCATTCAGGATACAGGCCCACCTCTTCAACGCGCTTATCTAGCTGTGTTATGTTTCCTTATTGGGCCTTATTCCTGATTGAAGGTGCATTTAGACCAGTGTTTTTCAATATTGGCAACTTTAAAAAGTGTAAACTTCAATTCCCAGAATTCCCCACCCAACATGCTGGGTTGAGAATTATGGGAGTTGAAATCCACACATCTTAAAAGTTGCCAAGGTTGAAAATCCTGACAAGCTACCTGGATGGCCAAATCATTCTTGCAACCAGTGCTTAGGGTGTACCCATATCCTACCTGTAATAACATTTAACTCTAAAAAGAACAAGGCACCCTTGGCTTTTATTCAGAATAAAACCTTCTTGACAATATGATAGAGTTGGCCAGAATACATAAAAATCAAGAAATTCTCAGACCATTGGTGGCAGTGCTGTTCAAGAGGATAGAAAGAGAAGAGTCTTCAGCCATTTCTGTCTCTTCATTTCTTGAATGAAAACCAGTTAATCTGCAAGAAAACCCTACATTCAGCTGCCTTAAGGCCATCAAAAACACAAACCCTTTTACCTTAACTCTGTTTCTTTTTATTAATTTTCATCCACTATTTACAAGGATTGGAATGGTCAGCCTGTTGTTCTCCAAATATGGGTAGTCCCTGACTTAAAACCATTCATTTAGTGACTGAGATTACCATGGCACTGAAAAAAGTGACTATGACCAGTTCTCACACACAACAATTATCGTAGCAGCATCACAGTCATGTGATCAAAATTTATGAGCTTGGCTACTGGCATGTATTTACAGCATCCCAGGGTCACATGATCACAACCTTTTCAGACAACTTCCAACAAAATCATGGGAAAAGCCAGATCAAAAACGTTGTAAAATCAGGCACAAGTCACTTAACAACCGCCTTGCTTAGCAACACAAATTCTCATCCCAATTGTGGTTGTAAGTCAAGGACTACCTTTATATTGCAGAATACAGTCTCAGCATGGTTAAGGAGATACTGATAGCTGCAGCTTAGCTATTTGGGAAAAACTATGGGTTTTCTTTGCTTGGATGAGTCTGTAAAGTAGGTTAAGAGATCATCAGCCTACAACAATGGCCCCCAACCTTTTGGGCACCAAGGACAGTGGAAAGAGGTTTTTCAGTGGAACAGACGGGGCGTGGTTTCGTGTGCTGCCTGCATCCGATGGATAGGGCTTTGCTTGTTTGCACAGCCTGCTTTCTGGCATGGGGACCCCAGGCCTAGAACATCCACTAAATGTCATAGCCCAAGGGAATATTAACCCAGATGTCTGTAATCATAGACCAGTATTTAATAATTAAACCCAAATGGCTTTTTACTTTTTTGTTCCTCTGGTAAAAAGTCAGTCCTTCCAAACTACTTTATTCCTTAGCTCATGCTTTACATGCTGTTTTACCTTCCTTCACTGTTATTGTAGGAACCACAATCTTTTTTTATGTTCAGTTGGTTCCTGTATTTTTATAATTGAGGAAAAGAAGAACTCAGTTATTTTTTTTATTTGATGTTTTTAAACAATTTACATAGTAATGGTTCATTTTTAACATAGTTTGCTACAAATTGTTTTCATGATGCTTATCTCTTCTATAAACAACTAAATTCCACTATTCCTTGTAAAACAACAAATTCATTATTTTGGCTTGATTGTATCAGATACATTTTCAAGTATCAAGTAAAGGTGTTACTTCTCCATGCAATTTGTCCTTTACGGTGAGGACACTGGCATGTAATTCAGACTAAAGACGTGTGGCTAGGTGATAGTAAACAAAGGTAAGCTAATTAAGGTTGATGATATGGAACTACGGGTACCAATTGACCACACAGTAGATATACAGACCAGCTAGATGTATCTTAATATCCCATAGTCACATGGTAACCATGAGGATGCAAAAAAGCAAAAGCCAAACTATGAAGACAGATCTTGAAAAGCCAGCTACATGGGAAGAATAAGATCTACACCATCAATACAGGTTGCATTTATTTTAGGTCTGTTTTTTCCTTGTTCTTTACCACTTTTTGGTTGGGGAAAAAAATCCAACTTTCTTGGAAAGATATCAACAGCTGCTTAGTTCATTTTCCCTCCCTCCCCCACCCTCAAGCATGAGAATTCAATTCAGTTGGAAATGTAATTCACATGCCCGGCATTCAAGCATAATCCTTGAACTTTTGAGTACTTTATTTATATGGCAGATTGCCAAATGCTTTGTCTAATCATTTCAGTTGGAACTTTATTCAATCCTTACAGAATGAGTTCTTTGTTGTAATTATGCTGGTGATAAAACAAGTTCATCCTGGGAATTTGTATGTTCTATTCAGTTTGGTGTTTATAAGTGGCTTCATATTTGCAGTGTGCTATATAATCACATACTTCCATTTCACTTGCTGTGTTTGAAGGTAACAGAAATGTAATGCCAACAAGTCCAGTTACCTCCTGAAAAAAAGCACCTTTGGGACAACCATGTCCTGGATGACTGAAAATCTCTAGACTTTTAATGCCAACAGTTTCAAATGTATATCATATGTTCTTACCTTTTCCTACTATGTCTGCAAGTTTGCAAAATATAACTTTTAAAAAATGTATTTCTCTCAGAAGCAGAATTAACTCAGAAGCAGCTGCTTTTAAGGAAAGCAGTAAATAACTTTCCAGTTTTATTTTTTATTATACAGTACTCCCTTTTTATGACCCTGTTATCCCTTAATTCAGGATAGAGTTGGGGTGACTGGATGGAGCTGAGTGTTCACTGGCCAGATGCACCTCTTGATACAACATGGAGTTCAGAGCAGATTTTTTTTCTTTGCGCCCTAGGAGAGAAACATCTGCCACTATCTAGGATTGAACTCTCAGCCTTCAGAGTGGGAGACAAGCTTCTTCTCCACTGACACCACCATGCCACTCTCTATTTTGTTTAAATTACAAGTATGTGTAGAAAAAAAAGCCCCAGAAATGTGTACAGTATTTATTCAACAAAATTAGACTTACATACCCCACTACATACATTAATATTAATTTATTAATATAAATATAAATATAAATATTTCTAATAGTTTATTTAACAAAAACAAAGTCAGTCCAAAATTCTGAATAGTCCTCCAAAAGAGACTCCTGGAAATGAAATGTATGTTCGGATATGTAGACTATTTTTTCCAACTTTGTTTAATTATCAGTGAATGGGAGTCCTGCCAGATTTGTTTAGAATTTAAACATGCAATAAGACACCTCTCGTTATGACCTAAGGAAACAGGCAAGAACATGTTGATCTGACCTGATTTCTTTTGAAATTGAATATGCTGCCAACTGTCTTTTTCCCTTTCAGGTGTTCTGTAATTTGGATTTAAACCCTCCCTCCCTATTTCCTGGTTGTTGCTAAACTCATAGAACATTCACAGAATGTTCTAGCTTCATATTGCTACACATGGATTCCTGGCCAATGTTTGCAAATTAATTATGGGAAAGGGTTGCAAGAAAAAGCAATCAGTTAATGATGAATCATTAGTTAATTCATCTGTTCACATATTTATTCATATTTATAAATACTTTGATCCTTCTAGTCTTTTGTTGTTTAGGTTGTGATTAATATTCAAGTCATCCCAAACAAGATTGTGTCATTCTGGATTTCTGGATATCATGGCTCTGGGGACCTTCCATCTTTGATACTAGATGGAGTGGCACAAGACAGACTGACTGCACGTTTTGAGGTTCATGGGTCCTGCTTGAAGAGCAGATAGCAGCCATGGCTACCAGGCCCTTTCCACAGCTGAGGGTATGCCTATTCTCAGAATGAAGGCCCTGCTCATGATCACTCCTGTCCTTGTGACCTCCAGTTTGGACTACAGTAGTACATTTTATGTGGGGCTGTATTTGTAACTGTATTTATAAGTTTCAACTGGAGTAAAATATAGCAGTATGGACAAATACTGGTGCCAGTTATTCATCCACATGTGACACAACTGCTCCAAGAGCTGCATTGGCTTCTAGTGTGCTTCTGGGTGCAATTCAAGATGCCGATTTTCGCCACCAGATTACTTATAGGACCATCTCTTCCCAATTGTTTTTATCTGTCCTATATGATTGAGCAGAAAGAGCATGCTCTGGGTACCATCAGTAGGTAATATTGGTTGGTAGAGCCCAGAAGGAAAACTTTTGCTCTGGCATGTGCTCTGTGGAAAATCATTCAATCTGAAATTAGATTGGCCCATTCCTGTTAGACTTTCATGAGGCCTTGAAAACTTGGCTTTTTCTCCAGCCTGACCCTCTGGGTATGGGTTAGAACATACCTCTTGATTTTATCGATTAGGATTAGATCATAGCTCATATCATTCATATCTTATCTTCAGGTCTGAAGTCAGGGAGGTAAGAAGAAATGCAACTAAATGGATATTTACCAGTCAGTTTCAGTGTTGGCCATTTTCCCATTTTGAACTGAGATCTTCAGTTTGGCTGCCAATTTTGCTTCTTTCATTTGGGAGTTGCAACTTGTGGTGGCGCCTAGCTCTGTATCTTTTCATCTTCCTCTCTTGCTCCAAGGAAGGAATTCTGGGCACACAGTCCATTGACAGAGGAGGCAAAATCTAATGCTGTTTTAGAGGCACTATTGGCTTTGGTAGCCAATAAATCTCTAGTAGGGAGATAGTGTGGCCCCTTCCTAATCTCCTTGCCATGTTCAGTGGTGGATAATCACCAGTTACTCTTAATGATTTCTAAGTAATCAGAATGCTTCAGAATTAATTATTGAACAGTAATCTCTGGAAAGGTGGATTAAAACCCTGC